GCAATTTTTTTCTCTAACGCTGAAATTAAACTCGTGCAAGAAAATACAAATTTACACTAGTTGGAAAGTTCCAATTATGTTGCCCTAGATGAAGATCATCAGAAAAGTTTTTGAAGATTTCAAAATAGTTGAGGGTTGGCAGGTGGGTCATTTCGATGGAAGACATCTTATGATACAACTGTGCACTAAAGATGATTACACGAGGATTTGCTATAAGGAATTCATCACAATTGAGGTCAAACATATGAAATTGCTCAAATGAATCCCTAATTTTGATCTCAGTCAAGAACCTTCAATTGCACCTATTTGGTTCTCATTACCTGAATTCAAGCTTCATTCCTTTGACCTACTTATCTTATATGTAATTGAGACTATCCTTGGAAAATTTTTGTGGGTAGACTTACCTACAGTTCATATCTCAAGGACTTCTATTGCAGGAATTTTGATTGAACGAGATATTACACTACTAGATGTAGAAGAAGTCTGGTTTGGATCTGCTCACAATAGTTTGGATCTGCTCACAGATCTGCTCACAATAGTTATTGGTTAAAAATCATTATGGAACAAAAATCACACTACTGCAAACACTGCAAGATGTTTGGACACCCGCTGAAGAAATATTTTAGATTGCACACAAAGTTGAGAACCAATAGTCAAAACAGAAACACGCTATTAGTGCACCTCATGTGCCTGAATGCGCTCACAACAAAGCTGATGACAACTAACCTGAGGAGGGAATCACCACAAGACGAGAGTTGGTGTCTGCCCCTGAGATTCCTTCTCCTGACTATACTGCAACGGATAATGTTCGAACTGAAAATCAGAATAGTCGAGAGTTGGTGTCTGCCCCTGAGATTCCTTCTCCTGACTATACTGCAACGGATAATGTTCGAACTGAAAATCAGAATAGTCTCACATCTCCTATTTAGGATGCATCAGGTGCAGATGTAATAATTCACAGTTCACATACACTGGAACCTATCGCGGTTGCAACGACTGCTTTTCCTCATACCGCGGTTATAACATCAAATCAGATCGAGGATCACATAAGCCAGTCTTCAGATGAAAAATGACAAATTTACACTTCTCGGCAGAAAAAGGCTGGGGGCAAACTCTAAATTGGAAATTTAATGGTTGATACTTTGGTGACTCCTGACAATAACACGACTCTTCAAAGTTTGTTATCTGGTTCCTCTCCTAAAACTAGAGGAAGAGGCAGGATTAAACTGGCTCATCCCTAGCTACTTGTTTTCTGCATGTTTTAAATTTGTTTTACATTTTATTGAGTCTATCTGTATCTTTTTGTTGGGGCGTTACTGTACTTGTATTGTATGGGTAGGGTGCCTCTTTTGGGTTCTTCTCATACAACGATGTTACTGTTACTGCGAGTGATGTGATTCCGACACCTTCAAACCCCATAGAAAACAATACTAATTGATTATTACCTACAAATGATAGTGTTTAAACTGATAATCAGTAGAACCTCGTAGCTCCACTTCTTCAATAAGTATCCGGTATAGAGACAACTCATACTTCACGTATAGTATAACCTATTGTGGGTACTACGGTTAGTATTCCTTCTGCTTCAGCTCTATCACCCCATCATATTGATTCTTTGGATGATGAATGACATGTCTATTCCAGGAGGAAGAAGAAGAATGGAGACCGACTCCAGCTCGGGAACATATTGGATGATACTTTGGTTATTACTGGCAATAACGATCATTTTACCAGCTTATTAGCTTGCTCCTTCCCTAGAACTAGAGACAGAGACAAAACCAAATTGGGTCGCTCTCTAGCCACCTGATACTATGTATTTTTATACTGTTAGACTTTTTATTTAAGTATTTAATGTATTTTCTGTTTTTTCTAGTTTTAGAACCATTTGTGATTTTTGTGTGGCAGGGTGTTATGCTTGGGTCCTCCCACACGTTGTATATGTATCTTTCTTTTTATTTAAAATATTAGCCTTTTTGGGCTTTAATATATATATATATATATATATATATATATACCTTTTAATAAACATGCAAAAAACATTAGCTAGGGACGAGCCAGTTTAGTCCTGCATTTTCCTCTAGTTTTAGAAGCAGAACCAGATAACAAGCTTTGAAGAGTCGTGTCAGTGCCAGGAGTCACCGAAGTATCATCCATTAAGTTTCCAAGTTGAAGTGAGATCCCAGACTTCTTCTGCTGAGAAGTGTAAACCTGTCATTCTTCATCTGAAGATTGACTCATGTGATCCTCGATCTGATTTGATGTTAGAACCGCAGTGGAAGGAGAGACATTTGTTGCCCGCGGTAGGTTCCAGTGCATGTGAAGTGTAAATTGCTACCTTTGCACCTGATGCTTCCTGAATAGGAGCTGTGGGACTATCCTGGTTTTCAGTTCGAACATTATCCATTGTAGTATGGTCAGGAAAAGGGATCCCAGGGGCAGACACCAAGTTCTGTATTGTGGTGATTCGCTCCTCAGGTTGGCTATCATCAGGTTTGCTGGGAGCGCTTTCAGGCACATGAGGTGCGCTAACAGTGTGTTCCTGCTTTTGACTAGTAGTTCTCAACTGTGGGTGCAATGTGAAACATTTCTCCTGCAGGTGTCCAAATATCTTGGAGTACTTACAGTAGTATGATTTTTGTTCCATAATGATTTTTTTCCAATAACTGTTGTGAGCAGATCCAAGCCAAACTTCTTCTACATCTGGTAGTGTAATATCTCATTCAATCAAAATTTTGACAATAGATGATTTTGAGAAATGAATTGTGGATATCTTCCTGCAAAGGTTTTTCAATGATAGTTCCAATTGCTTATAAGGTAGGTAGATCAAAGAAATGAAGCTTGAGTTCAGGTAATGAGAATCAGATAGGTGCATGGGGGTTCTTGACTGGATCAAAATTGGGGTCCATTTGAGCAATTTCATATTGTTTGTCCTCGATTGTGATGAACTTCTTTGAGAAGATCTTTGTGTAATCTTCTTCTATACTCAGTTGTACCATCACATGTCTTCCGTCGAAATGACCCACCTGTCAAGCCCCAACAAATTTAAAGTCTTCAAAAACTTTTCTGATAATCTCTATCTTTGGGCAACCTAATTGGAACTTTCCAACTAGTATAAATTTGTATTTTCTTGCACGAGTTGGAGTTTCAGCATCAGAGAATCAGAAAAGAAAGTTGCTGGTTCTCCTGTTTTTTTCTCTACTTTTTTTATGAGATTGCAATTGCCATTTCCTGTAACAGAATCATGATAAACCTGCGAAAATTTCGCACTATCAGCGAAGTGAAAATAAGAGCTGCGTTTGTGAACCATTGTAGCATAGGAGGGTTTGAAGTGATTATCACCGGCGAGGGCGACGGCCTAGGAAAGCCCTGAGGCCATTACCGCAGCCAGTGCTAACCTGCAGCACAGTGAGAAGCTGCACGAGTGTCAAGCGGCTCTGTCACGCCAGAGGCAGAGTCGAGCAGACCGGACGACTCTACGAGACACAGCAGAAATGTCGAGCGGCTTTGTCTGTGCAGACGAAGAAAGTGTGAATACCATGCTTATTTAGGTAATATATATATATATATATGTATATATATATA